AGTATAACTTAGATCAATAAAAAAAAAAGAGTTTGACAAAATTGCTAGTATAGTAGTAGATGTTATGTATATTACATAATATTAAAATGCAGTGCATGTTTAATAATACTGTATCTGGTATATATTTATTTTGTTATTGTGTCTTGTTATACAATATCATGAAATTTTATTAGTTTCAGGCCAATTAATTTAGATTTTGCGGCCAATTTTTTTTGATCCAGGTTAGATAAAAATTTGATCCATGATTTGTCAGGATATTGATATATCAGGTTAACCTGATCTGGGTCATAGCTCTATACCCAACGGCTCAGAATATTTTTATTACTAATTAGTTAGTAATTTTTTTTTAAAAAAATCAACCATCTAATTAATTGATTAATGAGTTCTATTCCTACCTATCAATTAGAGTAATATGATTTTCAACACATTTTAGTTGGCTATAAAGACTTTTAATATGTTGGCTTGATTTTATATCAAGATTAATATTTCTTTTTGTGTATATTGTAAGCCAACTTTTTTTATATAGCATTCACATTTTACATATATACTTTTTTGTATTTGGAAATCGTATCTATAGCTTTGTGATTTCTTCTTCTGTCTTATTTTCTAAAAGATCAACATATACAAGTTTTCGAAGAGCTTGGGTAAATTTATTAATTTTAATACCTTTTAGCTTGTTTCTAATATTCTTAAAAATGTGCCAAGTATATAACTGATGTTTCATATTAGAAAACATAATAGTTATTGCATTAATAAGAGCCAACTCTTGATCAGTTATTATTGTTGTTATGTGTGAATCATCTGTCAATATAGTTAGCACCTTACACAACTGTTGCAATACCTAGCAGTAAAAATCTTTAGTTTTAGAATAGACAAGCAAGAAGGCTAAAGAATATATTAATCTAAATCAGTCGACGCTACAAATGACAATTAATAGCATCGAAAATCTATTGTTTAAATGATAATAAATAGAGTAAATAATAGATAAGATAGAAATAATATCATGTATAAAACAAGTACTCTCATTGAAAACGTTAAGTGCTAAATTTTTTTGATACTAAAGAGTTAAAAATTGTATTTAATAAAAAATCACCACTCATACTATAAATTAAATTAAATTAAATTATTAAATTATTCAGATTATCTGTGGTTATATAACACGTTTTAAAGAATAACAAGAAAAAAAAAAATTATCTGTATATCTGAATGTTAGTTTAATTAAACAGATTTTAATACTAAATACCAGATTAAAATTTAAAAATTGTCAATATAACCAGCATTTTGGGTAGTCATATAATAGCAATTACGACTCGAATATAAATTTTAAAATTAAAATAAAAAAAAAAATAAAAAAAATAAAAAAAAACCTGTTGGTTTTGTATATCATATCAACAATCAATACATCCTTTGCTATTGCAAACTCAGAAAATGCATCATGATGTGTTCAGAATATTGCTTGAATAAACAAACCATCTTGATCATGCTCATCATTATATGCAGGTTTAGTTGCTATACTTGTAGTAATATTTTTATCATTTTGCAAAGTTTTGAGTAGTATCTCAATTTCATATAACCTTTGTAATTTCTGTTGTCGTTGACAACTCACAGCATTATATATATCATACTTATGTAGATACTTTGAATTTACAGATGCTAAAACAGTATAAATATCCTTTATTTAAAGTCTATTGTCATAAAGTCTCTTGATCATACCTAGTTCATTCTGATCAAGCTTATGCATATTACTGCTAAATTTTCTAGTATCTGGATAAATCTTATGATTATACTCCAAGTATAATTTAGTTATAGCAAATTTCTTCTCATGCTTATAGTAATTTACCTTGATTACAAACTGATAATCTGTTCACTTAGTGGTATATACCTCATTTGTTTCACTATAGCTTCTTTGTTTTTTTGCAAGCAAAAAAAGCCTGTCTATAACTAGTGTTGTTACAGGATAGTTGTGAACAGTAAGTTTGAATACTTTGGACAATTTTAGACAATTAAATAAATTAAAATTACTCAAAATTTTATTAAGATAACCTATATTAATTTCTAAGTAAATATGTTTAACATATAAAAAAATATATAATCATATATTTTTTAAACAAATTTATTAATTATTAAAGCTTGACATGCTCTGGACACTTGTGGACACTTGGATACTTGGACATTGGACAGTACCAAAAAAGCCTTTAGACAGTCAAAATATACAACACTGCCTATAACCATTACTATCAGAATTCTTAGTAGTTTTTCTCAAGATCATAATGATGTTGGTTTGTATAGCATAATTTTTGACAAAGATGCAAACTTCATTAAAAGTAAAAAAAATAAACTCTTTTTAGAAACAACTATATTAGTATTCATAATAAATCAATGTATAAACTAAACTAAAACTAGAATTAAAGAAGAAGAGAGGTGAATAATAAAACTAAATAGACCAACAAGAAAGAGATAATGAAAATATTTGAAAGAAGATTGATGAAAATAGATAAATAAATATTGATGAAAATAGATAAACGAATATTGATGAAATAGATAAACAAATATTATAAGGTTAATGATAAATGTAAGGTAAACTATGAATATAAAATAAACTACGAATATAAGATCAATGATCAATAGCGAGATGATAAATGTAAGGTCAATGATAAGTATAAAATCAATGATTAAGATCAACAATGAATATAAAGATATAACTCTAAGGTCAAAAGGTCAAAGATCAATTTGCAAATTTGTTAATAAAACATCAATTTATACTATTTAAAATATGTGATCTTATTGGCTGATAAAAATTTTGATATATACCAAATTTGATGTACGAAAATAATTATCGAATTTTTAAAAGACCATTAAACACTACGATTTTATTGGCCAAACCTAAATTGATGTATATGAAGTTACATAAAACTGATATACAAAAATCATTTCTCTAAAACAAAAATTTATTAATAATATGGTTATATTTTTTTCATAGAATATATTTAGGAAATTGCTATTTCTACTATGATAAATTGCTATTTCTACCATAGGTTACATAAAAAATATAAAAAATTCTATTTTTAAATAACTAATCAAATTTAAGAAATTATTTTTTTTAAAATTAAAAAAAAAATATTAAGTTAGGGTCTGTTGAGCTTCTAAGTAAAGTTGTAGAGGAGATTTTTCTGGTTCTAATAGTAGTAAGATCATCAAAATTAGCTTGATAGATCCAAAGATATTTGAGAAGTATAGCAATAACTCATATCTAATAAATTTCAAAATCATTGTTATACAAACTATTTATATGGACAATTGAAAATTTGATATATCGTTGTAGTTTAAAACTCGGAAATTTCACTATCTGTTTAACTATAATAAGTTAAACCAAAGATACCTATATTTATTAATAAAATTTCTTCATTTAGAGTGTTTCTAGTAGAAAATCTTTTCTAATCATTTTTAATCACTTTTTCCACAGAGTTTTCATAAGAATAAAGGTAAACATTTGGTAATTGATAAAGTTTATTGAATTTCTACTAAGTTTAAATTATTAAACAAAAGGGTGTAGTGACATAGCGAAGTGGTCAAGTTGTTACTCTTCCAAGCAGCAGGTCAAGAGTTCAAATCTTACTAGTGACGAAATTTTGAAATTTGGCTTGTATTATGACTAACTATATTTGTTCAATCAGTTGGGATAGGATACCTGTAACTACGGTCATACTAGCAAGACTGGGAGGTCTGGGGCATTCATATGACATAACATTACACAAAAAGATACAAACCGATAATAGGGTAGTGCAAATATAAGATAAGTTCCGAGCTGTGTAAATCCGAAGAACTGCGAATACGAAAGCCCGCTTGGCAAGTCTCGAGTAGAAAGGTAGTATAGATTTTCGACAGAGCTACTGTAAAGGTTAGATCCAAAAAACAGAACCCAGGTAAACTGAACTGGACAAAACACAGGATGTATTAGGAAGCACCTATACCAACCAGGCCGTTGCAATAGAATAGAGGGCCTAGAAACCAAGGTGAAGAAGCTGTGACACATGTGGCTTAGCGGCAAGGTGAAAGATCTACCAAGGTTCAGAGTACCTGCCTAGGGCAGAGAAAAAGTGTACAGTTACTGGGCTATCTAGATTAGAAGTCTGAGAACCAGGGTTGGGGCCTCTGCTATTGGACGAAAAAGAAAATACCTATACTAACTAGACCATCGTCAAATCAAAGAAAAATAAGTGACACATATCGGGCTATTTGGATTGGAAGTCTGGGTAAAAGGAATAGGTTTACTAAAGTACTGGGAATATACTGTAAAGTAAGTTCTGGGGGTTGAGTGAACTCTACAAAGGCAGAAGTAGATTTGGGTAGTGGAGTTTAGCCAAACTGGGGTTAAATTTAGATACGAAAAAACTGGAAGAAAAAAACTATAGGCAATGACCTCGACCTGGCATCACTCATACTTTCAGAATAGACAAAAACTGAGCTGCAAATGATGGGCCATGGCCCTGTGTACCAAACTGAAGTGCAGGCTAGGTGTGGTATAAAGTAGAAATACTGCAGGCTCTGCTAGGTTTATCTCGAGAATAAAGTAGTCCTAGGTTGGTTGTGTAATAAATTGTATCAAGAAGAACTGGTTTCTGAAAGATCAGAGAAATAGTACCAATTATAGGAAAATCTTGGAGTACATAAGCACAGAGAGTTTAAATAAGTAATCCCTAGTCAGATTGCAGGTACAGCAAATAGTGTAGAGCCTAGTAATAGGCAAACTACTTAAATAGGTGCTCAAAAGGCGCAAGTATGGCTAAATATACCCTTCAAATATGTATAATGATATCCTTATATAATAAAGCATAGCATGACCAAGAGATCATCTTAATACCAAAAAAAAAAAAATTTATTAAATGAATCTTGAATTTATAAATGTTAAATCATGAGTGTTATATTAATACAAGATTTTATGCATTTATTAAATAGACCAAGTGATATAAAGCTTTTAACAAGGTTTATTTACTTGAATCAAGAATGTATTATTTATTAAACAGATAAGATAACTAAGATCTTTAATATAGTAAATATGGTGATATGGTCTAATTGATATTATAGTCCAAGAATAGTAACACATGACAATATGTTTTTAGTAAAGTATAGTGATTAAAAGATGGATTAGAATTACTTTAGATTTAAAAAAAGCTTCGCTTTTGTTAATAATAAATTTATTTCACTTCATTTCGCGAATCAAAAAAATTTTAATTAATTTGATTGGTTAATAGTCACGCATAGATCTACATAAATTAGCCAATCACATAAATGTTATAACCTGTGATTTTCTGTAAAAATACAAGTTATTGCTATATTTATTTGAGATTAAAGATATAAATATAGGGATCTGCAAATTTAAAGAAGTTTTTATTAAGTTAGGGTCTCTTGGGCTT